TGCTGGGGGATTGAACCGCGGTCCCTGATGCTTTGCCAAGCTTGTTCTAAGTAGGTGCTTTAGACCACTGAGCCATCTCTCCAGCCCCCAGACATTTATTTTTGCTAAAAAGGAAAGACGTGATCATCACAACACTTACAATTGTTTTAACATTTTTTTTCCACGACAGCTGATCAGTTGATATTTCAGCATTCCCTAGTGGTTAAAAAAGTCCTGCTACATTCCCACCAACTGAGAAACTGCAAGAGCGCCTACTGCATACATTTTATCTTTCTATGCTTACTAAACACTCCCTGCATTTACTCACTCTGATTATTCAACTTTGAGCCTCAGTTGCCTTAAAATTTTTTATTTATTTATTTATTTTTTTGCAGAACCAGGGATTGAACTCAGGCCCTTGTGTTTGCCAGGAAAGTGCTTATTCCACTGAGCCATCTCCCCGGCCCCAGGTGCCTTAAATACTAAATGAAGGAATATTAAAACGTAAAATTTTTAAAAAACTTATAAAACTTAAAAGTTTTAAAAAATCCAAGTCTTTTTAGATCTTAAAAGTACTTCCCAGTCTTGATATTTAGTAATTCTGTAACACTCTTCTTTCCTGCTGCTAATGTTGTGAGGATTCAAATCAACCCCCCCCCCCATTCTGACAGGCCTCGCTCATCGCGGAGACTTGAGGTCTACTGTAAAAGAACGATAAGACCCTCAAAATCCAACAGTGGGAGAGAAAAAGGGCAACCACCACTGATTCAAACCCATGGTAAATACTGGATGTGTTTTCTTGTGTATAAAAGATTAATAAAAAGAAAATGAGTCACTTGGAAAAGGTAGAATTAAGAAGACTTGCGATGTCAGTTTGAGAAAGCAGGCTTGGCCCCTGCGCAGCTGGAGGAGGAAGGCCGTGCGGGCAGTTGGGCTGCAATCCAGTACTTGGGGCCCTCTGCAGGCAGGGACACTCAGAAGGAGCCAGTGCCTGGAGCAGAGGGACTAAGGTTCAGAGGGTCTCCACCGGGTCCTTGCTGGTGTCACTAGCAGCTCATCAGTGCCTTCCCAGTGTCTTTATTGGCACTAAGAACCCTCTCTCGGTGGCAGAGAGATAGCTCAGTAGAATAAGTGCCTGCCTGGCAAGCGCAAGGGCCTGAGTTCAATCCCCAGTTCCACTAAATAAATACATAAATAAATAAATAAATAAATAAATACCC